ACAAAATAAAAAAAAAAAAAATACGCATTTATCAAGGAAGAAAAACCCGCAAAAAATTGTTTGTACTTTTAGCGGTGCATGAAAGTTAAAAAAAAAAAAAAAAGCAGAAAGAGGTTTTGCATATTTTAAAAAAAAAAAAAAAAGTAAGGGGTTGTTACGAAAATTTTCCGAAAGGGGTTGTTGGTTTTTTTTTTTTTTACGGGCGTATCCTCCCCCCCCCTCTTACTCCTCTTACAAATATTAGATATCACAACAAAAAAAAAAAAAAATAATTCTCACGGGATCTTTTCTCCCGTATTATAATTAACTTATTTAAATTATATATAAAAAAAAAAAATGAGAAGAGCGAGATCGGGTGTTGAGAATTGTGAATAAATTAATAGATTAATTTTTAATGCTCGACGGCATTTACCGTTTCGCGTTGAAAATGTGAACATAAAAAAAACGAAATCAAATTATTTTCCTTCAATTTTTTTATTTATTTATTTATTTATTCTCTTTTCGAAAATTTTATTTATTTATGTAAACTCTTTACTTTTCTTATTGCTACTGCTCTTTGATGAAAACTCTCCTCTTCCCCATTGGTAACAAATGTAACTAAATATTGAGAGTAAACATTTATAAAAAACTATTATTATTATTAATTATGTTGGTGTGTTTCAAAAAAAAAAGAATGGAACATTTTCCGAACGTGTAAATAGATAGACAGACGTTCGTTACATGTATTTTCAATGTGGAAAAAAAAAAAAATTATGGCGATTGTTGGAATCGTGGTAGTAGTAGTAGTAGTAGTGAGGGTTAATGATCGAACGGTACTTTTAATACCCTAAGGCTCGGACTCAAAAATCCATTAACTTATGCAAATTGTTAAAAATGGTGACGACGGAGGTGGAGGGGGAAGGAGAGAGTAAAATGAGGGGGAGGGAAAAGAGACAAGGGAAGGGCAAAAACGAACATTAAAAAAAAAAAAAAAAAAAAAAAAAAACTTTTTTTTTTTTTTAATATTTATTTTTCATTACTTACATAAAATAAAATTTTTATTTATTTTTCCTTCATTTTCATATATATTTTTTTTTCTCCCTTTCTCTCTCTTTCTCTCTCTCTTTCTATTTCTTTCTTTCAATCACTCTATTATTATTATTATTATTATTATTATTATTATTATTATTATTAATATTTTTTTCCTTTGTTTTTCTTTTTTTAAAAAAAATTGTTTTTCCGGTTGTTTTCCATTTTTTTTATTTTTAAAATTAATTTGTAATTTAAATTAATTTACGACTCGCGTTTTTTTTTCTATTAAAAAAAAAATTATGCGTGAGTAAAATGTTTAAAATGTTTGTATTTTGTTTGTTTGTTTGTTCGTTTGTTTGTTTGCCTTTTTTTTTTGTTGGTCATAATGAAAGAGAAATGTAGTTTAAAAAAAAAAAAGAAAACCACAAAAAACGAATTAAACCGATTAAAAATTCAATTAAACAAACAGAAAAAAAAATAATTTTTTTGTATAAAACAAACAAAAACAAACGGGAAAATTCACCTTAGAGAAGAGAAGAGGGAGGAAGGGAAAAGGTGGGGGAAAATTCTGGATAAATTATCGTGTTAATTAACAAACTAAAATAAAATCGGATAAATTTTTAATAAACTAAAAATCGTTTAATACATCATCAACAAAAGTGACGACAACAACAACAACAACAGCAACAGCAGAAGGAAAAGGGGAAAGGAGGATAAGGAGGATGAGTGGGGGAGAGTATAAAAAAATCTATAAAGCGCAACAATTTTCTAACGTTTTATAAATGAAGGAAAGAAACGAAACATTGATGGGGGAAGAAAAAAAAAAGTTTACTTACACTTATTGGAAAATAACTGATAAAGCCTGGAGAAAAAAAAAATGTCATCAAATCTTTGAAAATTGTTGTTTGTTTACATGGAAAATTCTCGAGAAAAAAAAAAATTATGTAAGCAAAATATAAAATTTATAAATTATGAATTTACGATTTGATTTTTTTTTTTCGTCAGTCATTTAAAAAAAAAAAAAAAAAAAAAAAAAAAAACAA